GCTTCTTGTTCTCTTGTTTGAGCTTCTCATTCTCAAGAATCAAATCACCATCATGATCAAGAGTTTCTAGCACAATAGTGTTATGGCTTTTGATCTCTTCAAGATCTTTCTTGAGCTTTTCATTATCATTCTTAATCTTGACAAACTCATCATAATCATCGGTCTCAACCACTTGCTTGCCCTTGCTACTAGAACTTTGCTCAATGCTTTCAATTATCAAATCATCATATGATGTAGCTATATCACTCTTAACAACATTGTTAGTAGCATCATGTGACTCATTAGATAAAAATTCTTGAGCAATGACAAGATTATCATGATTAATCTTAAGAGTAGTATATTCTTCTTTTAGCTTGTTGTGGCTAGTGATGAGCTCATTGTGTATCATCTCAAGTTTATGATGTTTATCTTTAAGCTCTTTCTTAAAAGATTTTTGCTCCTTGAGTTTGGATGATATAGCATCATTTACTTCTCTAAGCTCAATACTAGCCTTTTCGGCTATATCACATTTGGCTAAAAGAGAATTATTTTTAGCTTCTAGCTTGTCATTCTTAGCTCTAGTCTTTCTAATGATTCTAGTATATTTGTTTAGCAATTTGACAAGTTCATCATATGAAGGTGATTTAAATTCATCATCATCACTATCACTATCACAATCATCATTGTTAGTATGATCATCACTACTACTATCATCATCATTTGATAACTTTCGTTCACCCTTGACCATAAGGCATAGGTGTGTAGAGAATGATAGCGGTGGTGTTGGTGAAGATGATGAGGAGTCAATCACAATGGCGGCCACCTTCTCATTATCACTATCATCATCGGATGAGCAACTTGATAAATCAATGTCCGTGAGCCAATCACCGACGATATATGCCTTTCCACTTTTCTTCTTCTTGTGGAAGTCCTTCTTTTTGCCATCTCTCTTCTTATATGGCTTATTTTTCTTCTTCTCATCTTTTTCTTCATTGCTTGAGTCATCTTTCTTGCCCTTGTACTTGTTCTTATACTTGTCTTTCTTGGGCATTGTGCATTGATGAGCTAGATGACCAAGTTCTTCATAATTGTAGCAATCCATCTCTGAGATTGGCTTCCTTCTAGAGCTTATGAAGAAATTCTTCTTCTTGCCATCAAACTTGATGTCACTCTTGTTGAGCTTCTTTAGCATCTTGACGGTTCTTTTCACCATGAGAGCAATGCTTGCATCATCAACTTCATCATCACTTGAGCTCTCATACTCAAGCCTTGCTTTGCCCTTCTCTTGACTAGCTTTGAATGCTAAGTCCTTGTCTTTCTTCTTAGTAGATGATGAGCCATTTTGTGGTGTGATGTGCATGTACATCTCATGAGCATTGATCTTTCTTAAGATTTATGTCGGTGTAGTGATGGAAAGATCATCTTGATGAAGCACGGTCACAATATGCCCATATTTGTCAATGGGGAGGACACTCATGATTTTTCTTACAACGTCGGATGGTTGCATTTGAGTGAGTCCAAGCCCATTGACTTCCTCTACAAGAATATTCAAACGAGAGTATATCTCATTACCACATTCTTTAGGAAGCGTCTCAAAAGAATTTAGCTTTTTCATGACTAGATGATAGTGTTCCTCACGCTCACTCTTTGTTCCCTCATGGAGCGCACAAGCATCCGACCATAGAGCATGGGTGTCTTTGTGGTTTCTTACCAGATTGAACACATCTTTGCAAAGGCCTCTAAAGATAGTGTTTTGAGGTGTTGCATTCCATTTCTCGTAATTCACCTCATCGCCTTGTAGGTGTGTAGCATCCTGAGGTTTTGGGAAGCCTTGTGAGGCGGCTCTAAGTATTCCAACATCTAGAGCTTCTAAGTACGCCTCCATGTGGATTTTCCAATAAAGAAAATCATCCCCCTCAAAGATAGGAGGAGGTCCATCCCCGTGAGACATCTCTCTAGGCGGTTAAGCCTAAATACGTGAGTACAAGGCTCTGATACCAATTGAAAGGATCAAGATGCCCAAGAGAGAGGGGGTGAATTGGGCTAATTCTAAATTTTTTACAATAATTAAACCCTACGGTTAGCCCAATTAACCATTTATGCCTAAAAAGTGTTTCTATTGATCTAACGCACAAAAGTTTAGCAATCTATGTTCCAATCCTACTTAGCATGGCAATTCTATAAATGTAAATGACAAGAACTGAATTGCTCAAAGTAAATGCTCAAAGTAAAGAGAGAAGGAAGAACGCGGCGATGTTTTGCCAAGATATCAGAGAGTCGCCACTCCCCATTAGTCCTCGTTGGAGCACCCGCGCAAGGGTGTAGCTCCCCCTTGATCCGCGCAAGGATCAAGTGCTCTTTACGGGTTGATTCTTCGACACTCCGTCGTGGTGAATCACCCACAACCGCTCACAACTTGAGTTGGGTCATCCATAAGCACCACCGGATGATCACCAAGCTCCCAATCACCACCAAGTCGTCTAGGTGATGGCGATCACCAAGAATAACAAGCACGAACTCTCACTTGACCATGACAAGCCTAATGAGAAGGGTGGATGCACACTTTGCTACTCTTGATTTCACTAATGAGGGCTCCTTTTGGGATTCTCAAATCTCAGTCACCTTATTAGGACCTTGTTCTTCTTGGCACTCTCAAATGTGTTTTCAGCTATTGGAATGAGTAAAAGTACCCCCACACACGAATGGAGAAAGTATTTATAACACCGCCGGAAAAACGAACCGATATGTGCCTCTACGGGGTGACCGGACGCTTCGGTCATGTTGACCGGACGCTCTGGTCAGTTCTCCCCGAACTCTAGTATTTAAGCACTGATCGGACGCGTTCGATCATGATTTTCTCTCTCTAGAACCTTACTGGAGTCGACCGGACGCTGGCCCTCAGTGTCCGGTCACTCACCTCTCAGCGTCCGGTCGCGCTAGACGACTTTACCTTGATCAAATGAACTGATCGGACTATGCGCCAACGTCCGGTCAAACCGGAACCAGCGTCCAGTCAGTATTTGACACTCCATTCACTTCCAACTCTCAATCATATGTGAATGAAGTTTGCTCCATTGGATCTAAGGGCTATTTTGGAGCTACCTAGTGCTAGTTTTAGCAAGTGTGCACCACACCTAACCCACTAGACTCACCTAGGTCAAACTACCCGTCCATACCCCCTTAATAGTACGGGCCAAGAAAAAAATAAAGTCCTAAACTACTCTAAGTGTCTCTTCAACTCTAAACGACACTTAGAACTAGTACATCCTTAACCTTGTCGTCCATCCTTTGAAAACCGAAACGATTTCCATCGTAGGGCATGATCACCATGATTGCCCAATCGATCTCTATTACCATGATCTAACTTAATTGCCTCTACAAAACACACGTTAGTCATAGTAATCACGTATTGTCATTAATCACCGAAACCCAACTAAGGGCCTAGATGCTTTCAGTTTTGATTATGTATAATTCAATATCACCATAATACCCCATAGATATATTCTATCTAGAGATATCACATATTTATAAAAAGTGAAAATGACCAAACCATAAGAACCATTTATGTTAGCTAATACTCCCTCCTTTTCTTTTATGTAGGGTGATTATGAACTAAAATTTGAAAAAGTCCTACTTTATGACTTTTAACTAACAATCAGACAAATTTATATGCGTGCTATGTTAGTATCTAAAGGTTGTACTTGAAATTTGTATTTACATATCTAACATTATGTTGATTTTGTAACAATTGATAATGTATTCTATTTAATGGTCAAAGTTTACTTTTGTAGACTTTCAAATCTGAATAGGATTCATACATAATGAAAAGGATGGAGAACTTAACAGCAATAATGACCAAACTGACCAAATTATGAGCAGGTGTAGAGTCTCATGAGTATAACTTCCAAATCTTGGGAGCTTTGCGACACACTGTTCAAGTTTAGGTACTAACTGCAATTTTTGTACCTAGCCATTTGAAATTCACACTGTGCCATTGTGATTGACAATGCTAACTATTGTTCAGATAAACAAAAACTTTATCATCATTTCTTGTACTTCTTTTCGTTGGCCTTACAATGGTCATGTTCGCTTTGCTGAAAAGCCATGGCTAAAAGTATTGTTCGTTGATTTGTTGTGAAAGAAAAACACTGTTCATTCGCTGAAATAGTACGGCTCATAAAACAAACAAACATAGCCCATGATTATCTGGCGTCAGTTTTATGATTTGACTAGTTACTCTGGTTTGTGGAGCTGGATTGAACAATCTTTCAGGGTGCTCCACCAATTAGCCTACGTTACACGGATACGTCCTGGCACCGATACGGATACGTGTGGGATAGGCCGCCAGCCCGCCAATACGTATCGGAGGAGTATCCGATTTTTTTTTTCGCGAATATTGGATACGTCGCCTGATACGTATCGGCCTTGTCGATACGGCCCAGCCCAATAAGACAGTCCCTTATCCCTCTATATCTCCGACGCCCGAGCCTCCGATGCCCGCAATCCGGCACGCCCGCGCCTCGCGCCGCATCCCCGCGCGGTGACACCGCATCCCGCTCGCAGACCGCCGGCCACCGGCGACGAGCCTCCGCCTCCGCTCGCCGGAGACGAGCCTCCGTCCAAGCTCGCCGTCAGCCAGCGACGAGTTTCCGCCCCTGCGACGTGGATCCAGGCTCCAGTCAACTCCCGTGAGTCAATCCCCTTCCCCGTTCTCGATCTCCTCTTCTTCTTCAGTTCGTGGCAGCTTGTTGCTTGATTTCTTTGCTCCCCACTTCGTCTTCCACTCCCCATTCTCGATCTATTCTATTTCTGCAGTGAAGTTAGTGACTCGTTGCTTGATTGCTTGATTTAGCCGATCGTGCTTCTTGTATATTGAGTTGAAAATGTAACCTATATATGTCCTGTTTTAGGTGCTCCACGATTGTCTATGACATCTGAAATAAATTAGGATTGAATCAAGATTAGGGAGTTATTCAAAACTCAAAAGTAAAGGGTTTCCAGTCTTCCAGTTAAATGACCAAATGACCTGTATAATGTCAGCAAGCAAGCAAAATAAACGACAGACAAATTGTACCAACTCAGAGCAGTGCAGGCCGGGGAAGAAAACAAAATTGGACTCATCTCATTGTCTAGTGAGTTTGAAGCCTCATATCGGTCTTAAATGGGACCAATATTTGAGGAAAGTTGTGCCAGAGAAGGAACAAGTTGGAATTTTGTGGTCAGACATGGCCCCTTTCATGGAAAGCCAGAAACATTGCTCAGGCCTTGCTGATGTTACATATGTTCCTCCAGAGACTTTCTCTCTTAAGAGCCTGAGAGGTGTAATATCCTATGAGGTATACCTAGCTTCTTATCTACAATATTAACTTCTGAGTTTATTTACCATGATCTGTTTTCATTTATCTTCTACAATTGCCTTGACTTGCTAGATTCATTATTTTGGTATCGTTAGCCTGCTATTTTGTGCTATTCTTTTAACTATACATCAACAAACTTTGTCCTTGATGTAGGTATGGTCTACATCTCTTACAGAAGCTGAGAGAAAATTTCTCATACAATTTCTTCCAAGCGAGCCTGATGCAGAAGAAAATGTATATTCGTTGCTTACAGGAAAAAATCATCACTTTGGAAATCCTTTCCTCAGCTGGCAAGTTCTCTGATTTGATTCCTGTGGACCTATTTTATTTTGCATTTCTAGGGTTGTAGAGGCATACAGTTGTGCCTTCTGTTTTCTCTGTTGTGGTTATATTTTGTTGTGAGCTAGTTGTATTATTTCTAGGGATGAAATATGGGCCAGATATTCTCGCCCGTCTGTTTGAAATCTTTCCGTATCTGAGCCTAGATATTCAATGTCCCTTTCAGATCCGTCCACATCCAAATTTGGATATTCAATGTCCCCAGATCCGAATCTGGATATTCAAAGTTGGATATTTGATATAGGTACATAGTATTTTATCAGTATCTGACTGTCTCTCAGACCCAAACTACCTGTCCGTATTTGTAGACAATATGCGTATCCAATTCTGAATCTAAGAAAAAAAATAACTATCTGTATTTGTATCCATATGGATCTGTTTCTATTCGATCCGTTTTCATCCCTACTTATTTCCGATCCAGTTTATGTGAAAAGTACCTACTATGGTTTTGAAATAGGTACATGCACCTTATTTCCTCCCACAGTCCGGTTTGTCTTGGTAGAACACAAGGCAACTAGATCTATTCATTGTTTTTTGGTAACTAATAAATGCATTGTGGGCTTAGGATTTGTTGGAAGTCGTGAACATTGGATGAATTTTCAAGAGAATGGGTGCGGTGGCTTGGGGCCTTGCGCACGGAGACTGCAGAGTTGGTTGAGGGTTTCCCTTCTAGTTCATGCTTTCCCCTTTGACGGACAAACCCTTTATATAGTTTTTTTTGGTGTGTGTGTGTGTGTGTGTGGGGGAGGAGTGATCCCTAAGGTACCAATAGGTTTAACTATTTAGAGTTAAATACACCAGCGGGCCTTGAACTTGTATGGGTGTGCCGTTTTGGTCCATGAACTCTCAAATTGCATTTCCGAGCTACTTATGTTGTTTACTGGTGTACCCTAGGTCCATGCCCTTTTGGGAGGTCGATTCGTCATACATGGCGATGCCAGCGTGGATCCCTGATCACTTGAGCTGCATGTGAGGGAGCGAAGGAGGGGGGCGCCTGGACATGCATTTAACCCCTTGAAGTTTGCCCATTTTTATTTCCATCCCTCCATCCTGTTCCCAAATCTTACTGCTCCTCTTGCCGCCTGAACACCTTAAGCTTGGTGGCGTAGCCAATCTTGACCCTGTTGCGGAAGGTGAAGATAGAGTTGAGCATGCACGCAGCCATTGGGTGATGTGGTCCCCATGGCAAGCTTGGGGCAGATCCTTCAGTCTGCACCAACCGGGAAATCATCCACACCAAATGGGGGAGAAGATTTGGGAGACAGGATGGAGGGATGGAAATGAAAACAGGGTAAGCTTGGGGGGCTAAGTGCATATTTCTATGCGCTCCCTCACTCACGTGTAGCTCAAGTGACTGGGAATCCATGTTGGCATCCCATGTAGGATGAATCGGCCTCCCGAAGTGGTATGGGCATAGTGTGCACCAGTAAACAACATTAGTGGCTCAGGAATGCAATTTTTTAGCTCTTGAATTTAATTCAATGTTCTGTAACAAGATACCTCATAATCTAGTCCTGTCTAACTTAATGTCCAAGCAGTCATTCCCCAGGGTATTCCGGGCTGATGCTATAGTGCCAGAATTTACTGTACATACGTCCAGTGCTATTGGACAGTACACATGGGCCTCTCTAGGCTGCCTGTAGGGCCTACTAGTTCATGAACCTAAGAAAATATACTTGGCTACACGTCGAATAACAACTTCTATAGGACAATTAGCAACTTCCGAATCTTCTCAGATCAAACATCAAAGCCACTGATGCTTTTATATGACATTCCGTGGGCACTGGCACACACCATTTAAAGCTGATTTATTGCCTGAAGGTTTCCATTATCCTATGTTGAGGTTCGTCCCTATTATATACACATCAATGCACTTATTCTGTTTATCCTTAAATAATGTTGCACTAGAATATACCATACTGGAACCTTTTCTTTAAACCTACTCTTGTACCCCTAAAATTGTCCGTCGAACTTTCCATCAGTTTGTCTACGGTACTGTTTTATCTCTTGTTATATTTTTAGATCATTGATTAAATTTTGAACTGTAGGTCATCTTCTCTTTGCTATGGTGATATTCATCCTGATGCACTACTTAACAAGGAGAAGCACATAAAAAAGGATGAGAAGGCATATCATGTTAACTTGCTTAATTACCATTCCAAGTATGCCCAAACCAGAGCAAGTTTATTATAAGTTTGTCATCTGATCCCTTGATATTAATTTTAAAGTGACTGTGCAGCATGGTTGAAACCTTGAAGAATTGGAGGAAGAGATGGCTAAGTTGTGGTGAAACAGAGAATTTGTTCGGGTTGGGCTTGCTTAAATTATTTCTTTCTTGACTCCTGGGTGATTTAGTGATCTATTACTTGCTCTGCTCTGGTTTTCCTTCATATAGGGTTGAATTAGTTACATAATTTGCTTCATTTTGTCCAATTCATTCACATTTCAAATCTGCTGTGCATATGCTGACCCCAAGCTGGCTCTGACTGTAGTCTAAAACTCTTAAACCTTTCTGAACCCTATGCTTGCAATACTAATGCTCGTGCAATTAACGAGAATTATTACTGTTTAATTTTTATTTGATGTGCCCTTGTTGGTTAGTCTACCACAGTATTGCCTATGATATGACCTGTATGCAAGATCAACATTTTTTTTTGCCTGTTTGTATCTCCAAGAGTTCCAGATGGTTGGTCTATCGAGTTGGAATATGCATTTTTTAAGAAATCTGTTTGGAAAAGTTTGTGCTGGTTGGCACATGGCAAGTAGTGTCACCTTGGAGTCGTGGGTGTATAGTGTTCAAGTGTTAAATTGTTTCATGTTTCAGTTTTCTGGCAGTTCATATGGACAATTTCAACTGATTTCCTGTAAGCACTAAAGAACTTAATTTTTTCATGTAATATCTGACCATAGAGGTCTATTAATACTTTATGGTTGTATTTTCTTTTCAACTTCAAGGAGAATATCTAGTGCAAACCCAGCGTTGCTAGTGGTGCAAAACTGCAAACCTTTTAACACTATGCTTCTATACTGCATTCTGAAGAGCAAACTCAATTCAAGACAAGAACAATGAATTTCTACAAAACTTAGTAATTGATAAACCGTTGTTTGTTATGCTTTTTTCAGGGATAACCCTGGTAATCAGATGCAAGGAGTTATGCAGCTGAAAGCTACTAAGAGTGTAATGCCCATGAAGGTTGCACAAAGAATTGACGTTTCAAAGTTTATGTCATACATCAAGGTAAGATAGCTCTCTCATATGAAGGGCAACAACAATGACTTACTTTTGCTCAGCTTTGGTCACAGAGCTTCTTTAAGAAAAAGTCATCTAGACATGCATTTATTACTGCAATTTAGTGGCTTCCAACTGGCAGGTACAAATTAGGTCCTCTTTGTGTGTATTTGCTCTCCTTGTCCGCACAGTTTTAAATTATTGTTGCTTTGTTTTTTGAAATGTGGTATGCTGAACTGGAAGAAGAGAGAAATTTTGTATTCAGTCCATGTTATCAGCTTCATACGCTGCTTGTAGTCAGTCCATGTCTCACAATGTGCTCAGCTGATTGAGTGTGCACTCCATTGTCTCACTTATAGATCCTATTCTTTTCCATAGATCCTATTCTTTTTTTCCAACCTGTCACTTTCTTACTTAGCTGTTACCTTTCGTAATTGTTTTATGAACAACAATGTGAAGGGCTGTGCTAATGTGCGAATGATGTAGAACTGAGCCAGAATTTCCTAAATCATTCTGCATCATTTTTGATTATGTGACTCTAATCTGCGAAACTGATTTATCAGCAGTGACTGGACTGTTCATGGCAGCTTTTTATGCCTGACTATTACTTTGGTGTCATCACCTTTGTCCAAATTACGTGATACTTTTGACTTTTCAGGTTCTTAATAAAATTCAGCTTTCACCACCAATATTAACAAAGCTTATATTAAAATAAAGAGTAAAATGCACCGGAGGTCCATTAACTTTCGTGGGGGTGTCATTTAGGTCCATCAACTTTGAAACTGTATTTTTGGGTCCATGAACTTCTAAAATGGTTCACGGCAGGTCCATACCCATTTATTTAACCTTAAATCCAAAGTACATTTGCAGAAAACCCCCTACCTTTCTTTATCTTCTACGCGCTCACCCTTCCTGCTCAACGCACCCGAAAAAACACAACCGGCAAATTCGCCGCCGCCGAGCTTGATCACGATGCCGACGCACGCCACGCGCGCGTCTTGCCGCCATGGCTGGAGCGGAACGCGACTAGGCTCGTGGTGTTGCTGGAGCTTCCTCGCCGTGGCGAGGTCCCGAGCACGTGGTCGGGCGGGCATAGCGTGAACCTCTCGGTGCGGGGCGGTGCGTGCGGTGGTGGTGGTAGACGCCGCGATCGCGAAAGCGAAAGTGCCTCTCGAGGCGAGCGCTTGGAACCGTCTTGGCGCTTGGCCGGACTTAGGCCTAGCAGTAGCGTGCTTCATGTTGCCGACATCGCATCAGCCCGTCGGTCTCCTCTCGATGATCCTCTCTGTGTCTCCTCCACGTCAATGACCACGCGCAGAAGAAGAACCGGCTACCGGGCGGCGCTGGGCGGCGGCGGCGACGGCGCTCTGGCGGGAACCGCCGGTACTGCAGCTTCGAACGCGTCGTCGTCGGCCGGTGGCGTTGTCGTTGTCGCGCCGGGGACGAGGTTGGCGCAGCAGACGGGCAGGCGAGTGGCGGCGAGGCGAGCCACGTGTCGATGCGGTCCGGGTGGAAGACGTGGAGCACTTAGGCGAAAGCGCAGCTGGCGTATCGTCGTCGCCGAACTCGGCCGAGGCGAATCACGACTCGAAGCGCCGCTTGCTGGCCTTTGTGCGCCTTTCACGTCGGCGGCGAAAGCGCGAGCATGGCTCCACCCACGACGCCGCCAAACGCGCAAGCCACGGCGGCCCTCTGTGTAAGTCGGTCGGCGACATCAATGACCTGTGGTCGCTGCCCGACCAGCCGAGTCGCGCGACGTAGCTGAACGTCGAGAACCCCGTGGTCACGCACACGCATTCGGCGCGCGGCCGGACGTGAGCTGCGCCATGGCTCATCCCCGGCGCCATCGGGACACGGCCGTGGTTGGGCCTCCGGAAGTCCACCGCGCGGAAGTTGGCGCGTCGGGGCGGTACCTGCCGCATGTTCGTTACACACGCCATCCCAGCCGCGACCGTCGGGAACGCGCGATCGTCCGGGGAAGAGGCGCAGGACGTCGAACACCGGCGCCCACCCGCGGGATTCCACTTCAGATACTCGGAGCTGCCCGTCGTGCTACAGCAGCATGTATCTTTGCTGCCGTCCGGCGGCACGCGGCGGGAGCTGGATGGTTGTCGGCGTGGAAGCAAAGAAAGCGCCGCCGCCGGATCGAACACCGCGAGGTTGCCGTTGGCGTCGTCGATGTAGGCGCCGGTGGCCTTCTTGAATCCTAGGTGGTAGTAATGCTATTGCGGCGGCTTAAGCGTCGACGTAGGCGCCGAGGCGATCGTCGGTGATGGTCGAGTAGAGCCGACTTCGCGGACCGGCCAACAAGCGGAGGAGTTGGCGGCGAGGCGCGCTTTGGCGTAGTAACCGCCGACAAGCGGCGCGCGTCGGTGGGGTGGTCGAACGATCGCCACACCATGGCGTTTCACGCGCCGAGAGCACCAGTTGTTGCCGTCGCGGCGACGGCCATCGTACACGGATCGCGCCCATGCGGTGCCGCGGACCACGACGATGGCGCCACCCGGGCGGAGCGAGCACAAGGTTGCCCATGGCCGTGAGCTCCATGGATGCGCCTCCCCGGGACGGGTGGCGCGGTTGGCGAACCAGACTACTGCGGGATGCCCGCCACCACGGAGGTCATGAGCTCGCCATTTGTTGCGATGAGCGACAGCCACACCGAGGAGGAACTTCGGTGCGGCGGCCGGTGGTTGGTGCGAAGAAGCCAAGGCGTAAGAGGCCCCTAACCGGCGAGGTTGAGCCGCAACAAGACGCTGCAGCGCCCTGACCGTCCGCGTACGTGATGTGGTGCGGGAGGGACGCATCGCAGATCGGGCGGGAGGGGTTGGTCAGGAGTTTGACGTGAGGATAATCGTGGCGATGGGACGCGTTTTATAGTAGAGGTAGAGCATGCAGGAGCACCGCGCGGCGGCGGTGGCGGGCGGGTAGCGGGATTCGCGGTGGCGGCGCACCGCGTGCGACTGCGACAACGTGTAGAAGATAAAGAAAGGTAGGGGGTTTTCTGCAAATGTACTTTATATTTAAGGTTAAATAAATGGGTATGGACCTGTAGTGAACCATTTTAAAAGTTCATGGACCCAAAAATACAGTTTCAAAGTTGATGGACCTAAATGACACCCCCACGAAAGTTAATGGACCTCCGGTGCATTTTACTCTAAAATAAATCGCAAAATACTCCATTAGGATGCCGAATAGCAACACCTATTTCAGAGTCTATACAATGATTGTGATTTATTTTACTGAATATGCTGTGGTACCTTTGCTTTTGTAACCTTTTTCAGGTTAGTAGAACACAGCTCAACCATATAAAGAGACTGAAGCAATCTGGGGATGGTATTCAGACCAAGCATGTTTCACGTGTAATTGGTGGCCTTGATAAATCCCATGTAAAACCATATGGAGCTTTATTAGAGGATGAACAGAGGAGACTGCGTGAGCATTGGTCAGTAATTCTTACTTTAGTATGTATGTCTTTTGTAGATCATTTTTCTTATGAGGAACTATTTACATGACAGGTTGAAAATGTCTTGCAATGATTTACCTGCTTCCTTTGAGGTTCTTAGGGAAAGGAAGGTGCTGATGGAGAAATCAAGAAAGTTATTAGGCCTTGAGCTTGAACAGAAGAATGTATCTGTCTTGAGAAAGGTTCGCTGTGACTTGTCCTTCAATTCTTTTTCTTAAGTCTTTTATTTTGGTCCTGAGGGAAGTCATTTACTTGAATGTATAAAAAAATACAGTGGATGATACCAGTTTATGCTTACTTCTGTTATGTATCTTGCCCTTTTACAATGTATCATAGCATTTACCACTATAGATGAGAATACCATGACTATAAAGATATTGAATTTGTAATAGAGGCATCTAGTATGAAAGCTGTAGGTAGTATTTCATTATGAATGGTGAATTACCCTGCAGTGTTATCTTATTTGTATAAGCTAATTATATTGTCACATTCTTCATAATAAAAATAAATTCTTATAACAAAACAATCTTAATTTGTTTTTACCCAATAGATGATTATGGTTTATTTATGTTTGTTTATGACGAGAAGGCAGACCGGTTAACAGACAAAACGAAAGGGCTAGGACAACCTGGTGCTAGTGAAAATGATGGTACCCCAGTTTTTCAAAATGACCAGGTAGATTGCTCACCTCAAAGTATATTGCAAGGTGGGTATGATCAGAGCACTCTTCAAAATCAGGATGATGAGCAGTCTGTTTACCATATTCACTGTATGAATGTGGAAGATCATGATCTCATGGTTGTCAGGGGTATAGACATAACTAGTCAGAGTGAGCAAAACTCTGATGTGCCAGATCAAAATCATAATGGTGTCAGCTGCGTAGATAAAGGCATTTACTGCTGTGCCAACAACCCTGATAAGCAGAGTGAAGTTCTCGTGGACATCAAATTGTGTAAAGATGGACTGGTTGTTGACAATACTGACTGCAAAAATATGCAACTAGAAGATCTTGATGGAGTTTCTTACAAAGGTCCATCAGTTCATGCTTATGAGCAAGATCAGGGCCTGGAAAGCATCGGCCATGCTGTTGTGAACCACAATTGTCACCATAGTCAAAATATTTCTTCAGAAATGAGTCATCCAAAGATGACCACTGTAATTGACCAAGACGAGACTGAGAACGTTATGATACCATCGCGCAGTTCTTCACAACTACCTAAGTCCTCTGCAGAACAAATGCATGTGGAAGACTTTCTGGATCTAAATGACCAAGCAGCAAAAGTTGAGAAAGTCAGATGGCAGTTGGCAGGCCCTCTTCAGCCCCATTATCGCCCTCTAGAGAATATAACGTGTAATGGCTCAGGTGACTTGCAGATTAAACAGCCTTGTCTCTCTTCAGGACAACATAATTCTTCAGTTTACTTGAATAATGTTATTTTAAGTCAGCAGCAACCTCAACTTGCCACATCTGCTTTTCCAGTGGACAATCCAGCATCAGTTATTGAACCTTTCTCAAATCTGCAGAGCAATGGTCAGCTCGAGACAGCAAAGGACATTGGAGCAGTCTCCTATCCCTTTCGACATGCAAATAGCATGAAACAGTCAACTGGTTTGCATTGTTTGGTGAATAAACGTTTGGCTCAATCTGCTCCATTTCCCAGGTTGTTGCAGGAGCAGCATCAGTTAATCGATCAGAGTGACAATGGCCTCTATGCACAACTTCACGAGGATTACTACACGGATGTGAGTTTTCCAACTAAAGTAAACTTTCCAATCTCTGAACAACATTCTTATGCTGCTCTTGATTCGACGGATCATAGGTATAACTGGTTCCCCCAGGGCAGTCAGTCACATAATAATAATGATAATCTGTTGGGGTTGCAGTCGGGTAACTGCTTACCCCAGGCCTTACCAAGTGGAAGCAGCACCTATGGAACTCTGTTCAGCGCCATATCCCAGTACAAGCAGCCATCAGTACACATGGGACATGGTGAGTCAAGCCGCAGCCAACTCATTGAGCCAAGGAATCAATTTGGTCCACCTCAGAATTTTCTTTCCAGGAGTCAAGACACAAACCCTACTTTTCCGGATATGTATGGCTTCACCCAGAATATGGCCAGTGGCACGAGCAGTCAGGTAGCACCTGTAGGGTCTCTGGATAGCTCACACTGGACAAACTTCATACAACAAAATCCTGGAATGCAATCTGACTTTACAAACAGGCCATTCCGAGGGCCCTGGACCAGATAACTCTTAATGACACCCTGGACTGGATGTACTAGATTGGTTGGTTAATAAGGAAATTGGGGCAGGTTGGAACAGAATGTTTTCCGGCATCGATGACTGACAGCATAGTGGTTTTGAGCTGTTTGAATGGCGTGGTTTCAGAAATTGCTTTTGCACCATGCCTGTCTGAACGCAGGCGCTGGGAATCTGGAGTCAAAGCTGAGGATTCCCGTTTTTGCTGTTTTGCCCTGCTGTTTTTTTATTTTTATTTTTTATAATAAGCTGTGCCCCAATTTCCATGTGCCTCTGTAGCGCCCTCAGCAGAACCTGATGCTGTGTCGTTCTTCTCAATTATTTCGTTTGTTTTTTTGGGTTGACATGCCGGTTATATATATGAAGACAGAAGATGTGTACCAGTCGTGGGGATGCCATTTTTAGGTATCAAGAGCAGGCAGGTCGAAATGTACAAGCAGGAGTAGCTTTCTTTTTGCTTGGGAGGCACTAGGATTTCTTTATTCAAGCGTTTATACATCGACTGGGGTACTTGCGGCGCATACAATGCATTGGAGAGCAGAAGCTCACGTGAATCGGACTCTGGTCACTCCGAGGCACATACCGATTATCATGTTCTCGTTTAATCGGCGCATCGTCGCTGGAAGGATATATAAAGATATTTCAGTGACGGTTGCCAGCGCGGATTGGCTCGGCTCCCTCCTGCTGCCTCGCGTCAGACGGGGCAGATACGCACGCAAATCTTCTCAATCGCCCGAATACGCCCTGAAAGGGACTGTGACGCGAGGGGTTCGCGAGGGGTTAACAAAACCTATATAAAAGATAAATTATCTAAATATGCAACTACAGTTTTACTAGATGTGTCGTTATCTCTACCACAAAAGGAGTTATGTAACCTATGTTTCAATCTTATCAATTAGTCTATCATTAAGCTAGGAAAGTAAAGCACACTAAAATTGCAATGTAAATGCAGAAGTTAAAGAGTAACTTTTGTCGACGACTCTGGTATTTTTATCGAGGTATCGAGAAACGCGCAAGCATCTCCCTAGTCATCGTTGGAGCCATTCGCAAGGAATCCCTCGCAAGGGCCAAGCGTACGGTCGGGTAACTCCGTGGATAGCCTCGGACCATCCCCACGCGCAAGTGGGTCTCCGACGTGTCTTCCGGCAAACCTCTCTCGGATGCTCCCCACCATCTTTACTATTAAGCTTCCAGCCGAACCGCCACGGGCCTTGTTCTTTTCAGTACACGGTGGCGGCCATATCACAAAAGCGGTTGGTGTGATCTCGCAAGATTATAAGGCCATCCGATGTACAACAATGGTGCGCACAAGCATCGAGTGGGAAGAGGTGTGCAAACCTCATTAAACATTAGGCCTAAACCTAGAGCAAGAGCATAAGCGGTGGTCTAATCAACCTAAGCACTTCGCAAAGCACCTACACTAATCACCTAATAAATCACTAAGTACTATACTAGTAGAGATCACTAAAATGGTGTATCAAAACCCTTGATATTTTTCTCAGCTCCACTATAATCAAATGGCTGGTTAGGGGTCTATTTATAAGTTCCACTGAGAAAGTAGCCGTTGAGGACAAAACCTACTTTTCTACTACTGACCGGACGCTGATCACGTCTTGACCGGACATGTCCAGTCGTCCCGACCGTTGAGCGCACGTGCTGATCGGACTCTGGGCCGAGTCCGATCATCATCGACTGGACGCGTCCAGTCGCGTTGGCGCCACTCTGGAACCTCTCTGTAAACGATCGGATGCTGCACTTCGTGCGTCTGGTCGTCGAGTGCCGCTGTGTCCGGTCACGCTGAAAATATTGCCGTGACGATGAACAGTGTCACCGGTGCGTCCGGTCACTGCTGCTCAGCGTTCAGTCACAGCTGCCGACGCCTGGTGTTGCCGAGCAACTGATCGGACGCGTCCGGTCCTTATTAGGGCCGCGTCCGGTTACCTTTGCCGAACTCGTTTCTTCATGATCTTGCGTCCGGCTTGGTTCCCATCTTCATGCTTGTACTATGCTTGATATTTTGGGTCTTCTCTTGTGTTTCTAGGGTCTTACTTATGGTGTTGATCATGGGATCACAATGTCGCCTTGGTCCAAGTCACGTCTTGCACCCTATTGAACTACAAAATAATTACATGTAAATTCATTAGTCCAATTTAGTTGTGTTGGCCATCAAACACCAAAATCCAAAGTAAATGGGCCTAAGGTCTATTTTCCTTACAATCTCTCTTTTTGGTGATTGATGACAACACGACCAAAACAAGCAAATAATAAAAAGTTTGGAATTTTAAAAACTATTTACTTGCTAGGATGCAATGCTAATGGTAAGGTTATATGATGCTAAAAGATACCATATATAAATATCTTTGAAAATTTATCTTGCCCTTGCAAATGTCCCCATGTGGCATTATGGATTTAAGCCTTCCCCTAACTCCATAATCTACTATCCTCCCTTTCTCGGACCATTATCACTTGTAAATTATTATGATCGGGCTTGCTTTTGGTCCTACAAATTCTCCTCCTTTGAAATCAAATACCAAAAAGGAAGACATTAGTAGCACAAGGGAGGGTCAAACTTTGTGATCCTTTGAATGTGGAGTGGAATAGGTCACAAAATTTGACTCACATTACATAGACTAAGCTCCCCTAAATATATGCATACACATGATGGAGACTCACATTACATAGACTAAGCTCCCCCTAAATATATGCATACATATGATGGAGAATAAAGTTTATGCATAATTGGCAAATTAATGTTCAAAGGAGTTTAGTCTATATAAAGCATAGAGAAAGCATATAAATACCAAAGTGAAATCAACATAATGATATTGGTTTAGAAATGCCACATGTGGAAATCAATTTGATTTATACCACTTGCAATAGGTGGTGGATATTTAAAGTATGATGCTTAACTCCGAAAACTCTATTTTCTTTGCAATGAGACTACTACACACATGATAAGCTTGAAAAGGTGTTAGCCTCAAAGCATCCAACTTGTAGATTAACCTCTCCCTAAATTTGTGCACACAAGTATGGAATACTTGTAGGAGACATACACATTGATTTTAGAATAAAAAATATCACTTGAAAGATGACATCACATGAATGTGAGAATCATTTTCGAAGGTGATATTCAGGAGAAATTATCTACAATTTGGACTTTGGCACATGCACATATAGATGAACAATTATAAAACAAGCTATGTGCCGTGCTCCTAAACAATTTTAAGCCATGTAGGTTTGCTCCAAGAGTTAAGAGTGAAACCGAGCAATCCTGCCATAAGATATAAGTAGTGTATGCATGACAAAGGATTTAAACATGCAAATGCAAACCTAGGCATGAAAAGGAACTACATGCTAATTGAAATTATAAGAAATTAAATCTAGTTACCTAACATGAGAAGGGAAATTTGGGTCCATAGTATTCACTAACCCACTTGGCAATCGACATGATCCAATGTGATGCACCCTATGAAATGCACCCATACTTTGCCAAGTCTCTAAATTCCCTAAGGTCCATCGGACTTCTCACTTTTCTTTCGGGATCCAAACCTTCTTGGTGCTCTTCATGTTGGAAATAATTTCCTTTGGCACCCAAATGCGTTTGGCCCCATTGTTGGCTTGCTTGTTCACCTTGATGGCCACCACCATGTCATTTTTCTTCTTCTTCAAGAGATAAGGTGTGGAGGCCTTTTTGTCCACCATGTTGGTGTAGGTGTTGGTGAGCTTGCTTGTTTGCTTTTTGTTTTTCTCTTTCTTCTTTTCTCCTCCCCCATTCTTCACCTTGCACTCATAGGACTTGTGACCTTCCTTGTGGCATACGTAGCAAACCACAGTTTGTCCTTCATCAAGCTTCTTCACTCCCTTGACGGTGTTATCTTGATGAAGTTGGGCTTGCTCCGTTTTGCCTTTTACTTGAGTCAAGTCCTTGGTAAGGCGAGCAACTTCTTGCTTGAGTTGCTCATTCTCCATTGCAACCTCTTGTGTGCATGTATCTACAACAATTTTCTCAACACAAACTTGGTTGCACAAGGGTGAGTCTAAACATAAATCATTACAAGAAGTAGAGGCATCCTTTTTAGGCATGTCAAAGATAGAACTTTTCTTTTTAGGTGCCTTAGTGAGGGTTGTACTGACGGCTTCGAGATTAGCAACTTTATTAGTTAGCTCATCACAATGTTTGCACATGGTATCCATTTTAGCGAGCAAACTTTTATAATCATCTTGTGAGCTAGCTAACTTTTCCTTTAATTTTTCATTTTTCTTTACAAGTTGCTCATCATTGATTGTGCAATTATTTGTGTTTGTACTAGTCTCAAGTTGCTCAATTTTAGTAGATAGCTCAATATTAAGATTGGCAAAAGTTTCATATCGTTGAAGCAAAGTAGCATAAGCTTGTTGTGAGCTATCTAGTTTTTCTTTTAATTTTTCAAGCTTCTTTTGTTGACTAGTGTAAACTTTAGCAAAGTTAAGATTTTGTTGCATAATTTCATCATAAAAAGGTAGCTCATCATCACTATTACTATCATTGTCACTATCACTAGGGATAGGCTTTTTGTTACCTCGTGCCATAAGGCACACACGTGAAGTGCTTGATGATGAGTGCTTGTGCCTGCGCCTCTTGTGGTGGTCTTCTTCTTCACTTGAAGAATCATCCCATGACCTTATTGATGTGAGGGCTTTGTCCTTGCACGCCTTCTTTGTCTTGGGTCTGGGCTTGTTTGGACAAACTTCCACAAAGTGCCCCAACTCGCCGCATCCATAGCATCCTTTCTTTCTTTGCTCATTTCTTTGATTGGTGAAGATGAAATCTTGAATTTGGATGGGCACACCCTTGACATCGAGTTTTTAGATCATATTCTCCACCTTGTTGATAAGCTTGATAGATTCTTCATCAAGGTCGGTGTCGGGGACCAATACCAGGGTACCCAAAGAGGAGGAGCTAATAACCATCAATATTGATTCGTCCGAGCAGTCAAGAGCGCGACTACAGC